CGACTCGTCCTTATGATCCAGCCACGGAGGTGCAAAGCAGAAACTGCTTGGTTCGCTGATGGGCAGTCGGGGTTGAGGCCTCTCCGCAGTGCTGCCAGACAGTGCGTCCGGCACAAGGGCCTCTCTCTCCCGCGCGTCGCACTCTCTTGTTAGTTTTGCAGGAGCCCTGCTCACAAATATCCGCATCTGTCTCCGAAACCCAGCATGTCTCGAAGACGGACAGCCAGCATGTTTTTTTTGCTCTTCAGTGTGTGGAGTGGGTGCTTCTGCAACTTCGTGTATCACATGCCGCTCATCTCTCCACAAGGGAGGCTGGCAATCGGCGGACTCTGCCGTAGTGTGTCTTCATAGATGTCCACAAGATTCCACAGGTTGTATTCAAGTATTCCTTCACATCGAAGTTATCAAAGTGCATAGGCTGTCACCGTGAACTGTTGCAGATTGAACACCTCGTCATCCTGGTTTAGGCAGTGCGTAACCATTGGTGCAAAGCCTGTGCCGACCAGGACCTCCAAAAAAATGCACCAAGGGTGTCAAGCTGGAGACAGACAGCAGTTGTCCAACCAGTGAACTTGAAAGCGTCAGCATTGGTCGTGATCGTGTCTGCTACAGACAACAGCCATTGTTGATGTCGGCTCAAGCGTTGAGGCTTTTTCGAAAGTAGACTACAGGAGTGATTGGAGACGGGATGTCGGGATTTCTGGATGTGCTGCGAACGAATTATGATACGGTCTGGAATTTTTTTTACAAGGCTTCGGTTTTTGTTTCACTCTTTGACAGTTTTCTGAAGGGAGCAGATGATCAGATCGAAAGTGCAGGTAAGGGGGACCTGATGCGCCCTCAAGAGAGGAGCAAAGATGCCCCTGCCGATGGTACAGCGGCGGTGATTCCGGAATTCATAGATCCGGACGAGGCTGTCGTGAGCGGATGGTAGGGGGCTCGGATTTTAAAAGGCAGTACTTGTGACATCTTATGCTGCATCGCTGGCAGTGTGTTTCTGAGGTTTGCCGACTACAAGTCTACCTCTAACGATGGTGGAGGCTGGGCTGGGTAGAGAAGCGCGAACAAGTCCACCCAATTTTCTTCCAGCACCAATGAGCGCAAGGTGACGCAATGTCATGGCTTGCCGCAGTTGCATCTCGACCACACAGGCCACAGGTTGTTGCCGAGAGCCCAGCAGCTGTCACAGAATATTCCGTGGGACAGGTCTGAGAGGCTCGGTGTTGGTGCGAGTCCACCCGCCAAGGCAGGGCAGGGCTTCTCAGACACAGCCCTTTCTGGAAGGGAAGGAGGTGTGAAAAGCATGTACGCAGGAGGATCGTGCCAAAGAAATGCAACCACTGGGCAAGGCAGCTCGCAAAGCCATCAGCAGAAGGCCACTTCAGTCAAGCCGCCTGTGAAAATCCTTACGAGTCTGACCATCGCGCACAGCTTCAGAGGCTTCGCCGGGAGCAGGAAGAGGCGGAGTATGCAGCTAAAGGCCTCGAGCCGTGAAAGTGCCACTCCTGTGTTGTGGACACTTCCGGTGTGACACTTCCTTGCTCCGGTGCTTGTCCAGTCTGGCTCGGTATATGCATGGGCCTACTTGCATGACCAGCACAAGCTTCGATATTGAACACTTTCACACTATCTTGCGAGAGACTCGTTCAGTTTCGCCCGGCACCTGATACTGGCCCCGTCCGAAAAGGAACAGCGCAAGCGTAGACGCAGACTCGCCTGAAGCCCCTGCAGCCAGTAAAGGGTGTCCAGGGTTTGTAGCAAGACGCAAACGCCGTCATCCACGCCGCTCCTGCTCCTTGGCTCGGTTGTCTGCTGTTGATGGTGTTTCAAAGACGTTAAACAAGACCACATAAGACCCAATGTGTCAGCATGAATGTTTCGCTGTGGTTTGGCAATCCCTGCTTCCAAAATCCATCTTGTTGTCTCTACCTGGGTTCCTGTTGTCTTGTGAGGACCCTTTTGCTGCCATGCTCGAGCAAGACGTAGACATCACCCTCAAGGCAGGAGATTGGTTTCCAGGCCTGCAGCACACTTGCGACGCCGTGCCCGCAGGTGATTGTTGTGGGAAATGGGCAGGTGGGCAAGACCTCCATGCTCGCAGCCTAAGGGTTGGTAGTAGCAGGGACGCTCAGAAAGCATCGCTTGCAGCCAAGGATCACACGGTTTGCAAAAGGCATTTTCACTAACGAGTACAAGAAGACCATCGGCAGAACTCTGAGAAATGCTGCGAGTCAATGCAGAGGCCCTCTGGCCCCATGGTCATGCTGAGTACTAGCCGCAGGTGTGGACTTTTTGGAGAAGAGGACGTTTTTGAAGGATGTGGGTGAGGAGGCACATAAACACTAGCCTGCGCTGTCAAACAATTTGCCGACGCGTGAAACTCCAGCCTGCGAAGGTAACCTACCTTTTGTGGGACACAGCTGGGCAGGAGGAGTATGATGCCATCACTAGGGCATACTACAAGGCCTGAGATTTGTCGGAGTTTGTCCTTAGATGCAAATGTGTTCACAGGGCGCCGGTGCGTGTATATTGGCCTTCTCTACCACGGACCGGGACTCTTTTGATGCCATCGAGTCCTGGTACAAGAAAGCCCCTTGCCTCAACACTTCTGCACAGTTGTTTTGATGTTGGGTGCCTCCGGCCAAGTCTTTTTGCTAAGATTTCAGCTGCAGCAGCACCTGTGCCTCCGAGGTCCACGACGAGTGTGGAAACCTCGTGATGGTGCTTGTGCAAAACAAGGTCCCAGAGCCCATCCCAGAGCCCAAGGGTGCTAGGGATCGATGAAACGTGATGCGACCTCGCTGAGCTTTCCAGGTGGACCTCCTAGATGAAGCAGTGGTAGAAGCAAAGGAGGTTGAGACGTCCAGCACCCAGTGAATGCAGGCGATATGTTGTGGATATCTTCGTAACTTCGAGGACCTCGAGTTGAACTGCATATGCGATGTTGAGCCAAGGATAGCAAAGAAGCTGCGTCTCAAGCTCTACAGGACGCGTTCAGAATGCTTGCAGCTGCCTGCAAATTCCATTCCCGTCAAGTGTGCCAACTTATCTGCCTGCCACCGCACACTCGCCCCAAGATCTCGGTGAGCACATGGCTATCGCTTGGGAGTCTGTGGTAGGAGATTTGTCTTGTAGGACGTGTGTCAAAGATGACCTTAACGTCAGTGAAGCCGCAGCCTTAGCTTCCTTTAGCACTTAGCATCGTGACTTTCAGAGTCTACAGAGATCGCAATACGAACCCTTAGACCCACAGAGATGCGCCTGATGGGAAGGTTTTCACCCACCTGGGTAACGAGTTCGTGAAGAACGGGGGCGAGGCACCACCCCAAGGAGAGACTGTGTTGACTTATACAGTTCGAATGTCCCCGAGGCATCAGTGGGCAGAGCGGGCATGATGTCGATAGAGGAGGCACGGCTGCGAGCGCGAATCGAGGGTCGTGTTACACCTGGACATGTGAGACGTGCCAGAGGTTGCGTCGAAGCCGATGGCAGCAGCGAGCCCAGCTTTAGTGCCAGCTTGGCTGGTTGTTGATCGGGCAGCAGAACCTGTTTCAGGAAAGAAGTGCAGCTGCCAAGGCTGTGCTCCTTGGTCCCTGCCATCGAACTCGCTTTGATTTCCACCATGCGTTCAGGCGGGAGGCGCAGCCCCAGCGGAAGATGCTGCGGGCGACCAGCCCTTCAAGCTGTCGTGGCTGGGCTTCGAGAAGACTTCGACTTGTCACGGAAGGAATTGCACTGGAAACATATGCCTCGGTTCCAGGAATGGGAAGCCATCCGTGCAGCGAACAGGCGGCAAAAAGTCCATGAAGTGCGCCATCTTATGAGGCGACGAAATCGTTTCACTTTCATGATCGTCTGGCTGCCATGCACACGTGGTCGATTTTGCTGCAAAACGCAAGACGCAACTGTGGGCAAATATTGCGCACATGTTAGACTTCCTGTCCTGTACATGGACTGACTTGAACATCCTATAAGCAGCGGACAGCGAAGCCAGGAAGTCGCTGGACAGTTTTTCACCTTTCGCTCCTTTTCACGGGAAGAGCCGAGTCTCCTGTGTTAGAAGGCTGCCTTGCTTCAAAGGTTTTCTTTAATGGCTTTTCTATAATATGTGGTACTGGTAGGTGTCGGGCCAGGCGACGGAGCCGTTTCTGTTGTTTGAGGCCAGTTCCTGGAACATGCAACGCCAGAATTCAAGCACTGGCTGTTCGAGGGAGAGGTCCCTTCTTGGCAGCAATAATTGAGAGCCACCACAGGCCTGCAAAGACCAAGCTGCATCATCCTTCCAACGGCACACCATCAGACTGTGGGAGACATGGTGTCTGTTGCAGCTGTGGTCTCTGCGGTGCATTCCCTCATTTCGCTTGCACGCTCTTTTTGCAGTAAAGACGCTTCTGCCTGCTGGCGTGTGTGAAGTCGTGAAGTGGATTCCCCCGCAGCGGTGCAAATGTGAGCCAGGACGCCTGGCGCTGGAGAAGTTCGGAGGGGCGAAGGGTTTGGCCCCCAAACGGGTGTGCCGTTCATGCCGTTCGTTCGTGCAAGAGGTTCCATGGGATTGCTCTCCCTCAGGCGCGAACAGTGTCGAGCCTCCGGAGGAGAGAGGAGGCCTGGCCGAGCTGCCTAGCGACCGGCATCCCCCCGTTCCTTTCCGAGTTTTTGGCCAGGCCGGTCCTCCAGCGCTGCTCCCCGCCCCGCGGCAGCGGCTTCGCGAGGAGCTTGCCTGCTGGCTGAAACGAGTCTTGCATGCCGGATGCCTTGAGGAGCCGTGGGAAGCAGAGGAGGAGCCTTTATGATGAGCTTTCGCAGTCGTGTGGGTCGAGACTGCTGATGGTCGGGCTCAGGAGAGGGTTGCCGGTACCAACGCTCAGAAATAGCGACATTCTGCAGCAGCAACGCCGCACTGACACAGCAGCACCGCCGCACCAGCATATGCTAAATCCTCACGAGCAAAAACTATCCTAAATCCGTGCCCTCCAAACCTCTGACACAAGCCCAAGTTCGGCATGCGGCAGGACCGTGCTGCTGTTGATTTCGAGAAGACACTTCAAGCTTGAAAACACGCTTTCCAGTCGAAGTAGAAGCATCGCGACCTTGACTCAGTGAAGGACGTCATGGCAATGTCCACCTCGGTTGAGAAGCTTCAGTTGCTCGGGTCATCGGCGATTACCAGGTCATCGCAAATGATTGTTAGGCCGTTTGTCTCAAAGATCCGACTGCAATCAGGCGGTATCTGCAGCTTCGATTCGGGCTGATCTGCGGAGAGGACGGAGGCGGGTGACGTCTGAATTCACCCCTTGCCTGTGTTTTTTGCCGCTGTTTCTGAGGTGGCCAGGGTGAAGAGGCCTCCAAGCCCCTGAAGAGGAAGCAGGAGCAGGCCTCATACTTCAGAATGGCTAAAAGAGTGGCTCAGAGTGCTGTCTCTGGCTCAGTGTGGCCTGGGCCTACCCGATCTGCCCACCCGGAAGAAGCTCTGGCAGGCCCAGGCCTGGCCTTTCCTTTCCTTGGCGTTCATAGCGGATGCTTCTCGCGAATGCTTCGCTCATGATCGCATCATGGATTGCATCATGATTGCATCATGCTTCGATGAGACCTGCTTGAGACGATGGCTCTTGGGCATATGGAAGCCGTAGTGTTGCAGACGAAGGGGGTTGCAAATCCGGCCCCGATCCTAGTTGACAGACCTGACTAAAGACTAGAGAGACGAGGTGCCTGATGGCGTCACACTCCAACCGGGCGTTTGCCAGAAGACTCCAGCAAGGATGCGACAGTAAAGTCCCAAAAGAGCTGCCATGGCGCTGAGTCGCGGGGCCGAGATCCCTGTGAATCCCAATGTTGCCAAGCATCTCGCCGTCCGTTTCTCTTCGGCTTGATGCCTCGACTGTTCTGCATTGCTTTGCTTCCTTGATTCCGACATCTAAGGTTTGGCGTCGCGGTGTCCTGGGACAAGGAATGGTCTTTTGCCAGTTGGGATGCGTGCACAGGGTCGGCAAATTCCTGCGCACTGGCAGGGCATGCATGCCGTGGACGTGGATCTGCAAGCTGTCATCGTGGATCAGAAAGGCGTCGGAATCTCAGGACACAAGCGAGGTTTCTGCCTTGAGAAGCTTGTGGGGGCAAGGTCATCATAGATGCAGCATACTACAACAACATGAAGGCTCTCAGGTGCATCTGGAACCGGTCTGTACCGGAGCCTTTGCGACCGATGACGGTCAGGTGCGTGACGCACTCCGGAGACGAACAGACCGGGGAGAAGACCGGCATGGATGAAACCGTGTGGGTCATGCCACCTGTTAGCAAGAGCAGAGTCCTGGCCTAGAAGCTTCCGGGGAGGAGGGGGGGTTTCCGGCCAGGGGGGGGACGATCCGAGGCTGCCAAGGGTCCCTCCGCAGGCCAATGTCTCGACTGCTTCTTTGCCCCCCCGCGCGGGCTGGCGAGCTTTGCCAGGTGAGGCTTATCCTCTTCGTCGTAGCCGCGCACAACCGCGCTGAGCCAAGAGAGGGGGTCATCCTCCATCAACTTGCTGCGCTGCTTCTCGCGAGTCTCAGGCGGTCAGCTCAAGGATGTTTCCAACGGTGTCCTTCATCTACTTGAGGATGATCCTGGAAATGAAGTTGCGTAGCTTGTCCTTCAAAATGCCGGGCGAAGTTTACGGTCGCAGTTGGCAGTGATGACCCTTGGCCGGACAACCAAGGAGCTATCGAATGGAGCAGAGCGCGAAAGAAGTTGATGCAGCCTGGAGCTCAACCTAAGACGCCGGCGTATCCGGCGTCCATGCCGCTCAAGGTTTCCAGGTATCCGGAACTCTGAAGCATGAGGTCTTCGTAATGGCCCGGTCCGATGCTGGGGACTGGAGCCTGCGCGTGCTAGACGAGCCTGCTCAGCCAGGCCTCGAAGTTCTGCGCTCTGATGTTTTTTCGCTTTTGGCGTTTCCTTTCTGGCAGGGCGCCACTTCATGGATATCCTCGAGCCAACTTTGGGGAACCTGATCCGTGCAGAGATCCCGGGAGCACCGAAGCGCCAGAAGGCACGAGGGTGTGCCAGTGCGACAAGCGGTACCCGGTACCCGGTGGCTATCAGGTGGCCTTCGCGATGGAAAAGGGGTCCATGGTGGAGCTCCCGCGCCCGGAAAGCGTTTTCGGAGCGCAGGTCGCAGGATGGAGCGCAGTTCACGAGTCTGAGCCGTCTGAGGCAGACCTCGGACCTGGGCAAGGTCACTGCCGGTCTGGGCTGGGACGTGAAAGCAGGACCTGGGCCGGATGTGGACTTGGTCCCTCGGTTGCACAAGGCACTCTGCAAGGGCAGCCCTCACGGATGGGCCGAGCTGTAGGACGTTTCCGTGGTGTTCTTCGCCGCGGACGGGCGGCACCTGGGAGCCGTGTTCTTCGGAAACCAGGTGTTTGGGAAAGCGGGGTCCAAGTACAGATCCCAGAAGCTTTGACCGGGTTGTGGAGCGGCCAGGAAGAATTTGGTGTCGTACACAGTGGGGACAACCTCACAGGCGCTTTGCTGCAGACTGACTTGCATGCGTCAGGATGAGTTCCTTTCCGACAGGTGAAGGGAGTGGGGATGACGAGGTCATCACCGTGAACTTGTCGGCCATTCCAGATTCAGTCACGCAGCAACTTGTCTGCAAGCTGAAAGCAACGGCAGACGAACATTGCAGCGGGAAGAGTCTTGCAGCCCATCCGATCAGGATGGTGTTCTCAGTGAACATCTACACGCCGAACATAACTTTTGATCGCGTTTCCAATGCTTATTGCCGCGTGTGCAGCCAGGACCCTGAGCAGAGCTGGCCTTGCAGCGGGTTTAACTTAGAAGCAACTAAGCAACTAAGCCCTGGCTGGCAGAGCTTTACTGGCTGACCACTTCAATGCAGGATGGCACAGAGCTTGCTCGGTATGTCCTCCGCGAGGCAGCTTTAGAGATGTCTGCGCTCATGAGCTTAGAGGGAACCGTCAGGCCCCTGCCTTTCACGAGGCACGAGGTGAAACCGGGCTCCTCATTGCCCGGCTGATGCGCGAGCCAGGCCCCAGTCGCTGGGGTTTCCAGGCCGGCGTTCCCCTCATCATCTGTGCTCTTTGAATCGCAGTATAGTGTGTGCTTGTGATACGCTCTGTGGAGTGTTCTTCTCGGTTTAGCCGCTTTAGCCTGGCATTTCCGACTCGGTGCAACACTGTAACATCGGAAGGCCATTGGGACTTTCTGCAAGGGGCGCACATGGAAGGATTCTCTGAGGGCAACTTGGCAGCCATAAGAACTTCGTGAATCCGTCTTCACCCATCTTCTGCAGCCAAGGACATGGACCCGTTGGTTCGTTCCACGGCCCGGCAAGTGCAGATGATTGCAATGCAGCCACTTGCTTGGATGTTCGTGCAGCCCTTGCCGATGGTGTCGTCTTGCGATTTCATTGTTCGCCGATGTCGTATCTTCAGGTCCACCACAGACGTGGGGCTCTCTGCTGCAGCTGGCTCTCGGGACAATCCCATTCGTGCCACTGCCCGATTCCCGGCGACCCCGGACCGGATGATCACCTGTAAGTGCAAAACACTCAGCTTGGACTGCTAGGTGGCTGCGCAGCCTGCAGATCAGAAGCTGCCTGGCAGCATAAAGCCATCAAGCGACAGAGAGGGTTGTGCTGTCTCTGGCATTTGTTGATAGGTGCGTAGTTTGGCTTTGCTACAATGGTGGTGCGGGATTGCCGAACGACTCGCATCTGCATCTCCCGAGCTCGAGCTTGCCAGGAAAGACTGCAGCGTGCAGTGATGTCCTGCCGCTTCAAAATGTGTCAAAGACTCGCGGCACAAGAGGGTTGTACATACTCATTCTTAGTTGCTTGAGGGATCCAGAAGTCACCCTTCTGTGATTCAGGAGCCATCACGACTCCTAAGTGCTTCGTGGTGGTTCGAACCAAGAGCATCAACAGTTAACGCAAGGGCTCGTTCCAACTTGCTGCATGGGATGAGCCGCTTTACTCGCGCAAAGCCGACGACTGCAACAAAAAGGGTCCCGTGCACGTGGACTTGGGGATTTCTTTCGATGCCACGACATTTTAGGGTCGAGCCGTCGAGCCTGTGGCAGGTCCCTCACTTGTATGATCTGGTCGTTACCCATCGCAGATCCTCTGACATCAGATCTTTTTGGTGGCGCCTTGGCCAGATTTGGCCAGTTTCCGCTGGTGCGATGGAGTCTCAAGAAAAATTTCCGCACAGGCCCGCTGGTGCTGCCCGGATCGGCAAGAACGCGGTCCTGCAGCGCATCGTCCTTGGCAGCTCCAAGGTGGGGCCTCCCGGGTCCAATGGAGTCCATGTGACCCCTCAGACGATTTTGCGCCTCCTGCGTGCAGAGGCCCTGATGCTTGCAGCTGCAGGGGACCCTGTAAGGTTGCCAGGGGATGCCAGGCCAGGGGCCTACACGAAGCCGCTATAAGGGCCGCTTCGAGGTCCGTCTGCCCTGGCCCGAGCGCCTGGCCGGGGAGCTCGGGCCCAAGAGGAGGATTGGACCGGAGGGAGAGATTTTGCGATCACTCTTCAGATGCTTTTCAGGGCAGCTCCAGCCCAGGTCAACTCGCCCATGGCCATGGGAGGAGCAAAAGGACGGAGACGGAAGCCCTCGAAGAGCCGATGCCAGCAATGTGTGCAGGAGCCAGCAGGCGAAGCAGTGCAGTCGGTCACCCGGTTCGTGTGACCGCGTCGACAACGACAGACGTCGCCTTGGTCTGGAGCTCTGAGGCCCTTCGTCCGTATCACTCAGTACATGGCGTATGATGGATTGGCGACCCTGGCATGCAGCCCGCCACTCGCGCGCACAGACTTCCGGAGACCTCCGCGGTGTAAAGTCGGTGGATCCGGTGCGAGATGCGGTTGTTTGGTCAAAGATGTTTGAAGGCACGAGTACCTGCTGACGGCGACGCAAAATGCCTCAGGCCAGTCTGAGATTCGAGTTGAGCTTTAGGCCCTCCCCCCAGCTCCGCAGCACGCAGGTGAAGTGCTGGTCTTCCGCGCGGCGGACTGGGAGGCTAAGACACGGCAGGTGCGCTGATGTGGACCATCATGCTGTGTGATCAGGTCGCCTATCAGGATGAATGCCGCCAGGCACCCGGAACTTTCCCGTGCGATGGTGAGACTCTTTTTTTGGGAAGGAGTGGACCGAGGACCCGAGCTCCGGCTATCGGGAGAAGGAGGCCCATCTGGCCTGGCTTGGACAGAAAGCCGGGGTCTACGTCCAAATACGACCAGCGCCGGCTTCCGAGATGGAGTGTGCTTGTGCTTCTCTGGGCTACCTCGAGGCTCTTCCCGGCTGCTTGCTGCGAATCCTGGAGGCTCGGTCCTTGGGTTACCTGTCCGTGTACGAGAGTACGCTGGAGGGGCGACGGGTCACCAATAGATTCCTCGATATCTGCCTTGATGCAGCCTTGCCCGATGGCTTGAGACAAGAGGAACGCATTGGCATGCCATCACAAAGATTAATAACGTGCTGTCTGCCGTGAAGAAGCTGCTAGGCTTAGGTGTTGTACATCACCTCCGGAAAGTGCTGCAAGGATCCCGGTAGGCATCCCAGCAGATTGTTTATGAAATGCCGTAGTGTAGGGCTGGCAACCATGTTGACCGGCACAGGATCAGCTCCCTCAGAGGCACACTCCGAACAACGCAAGACAGTTTTCAGTGCTGTCAGTGTAAGTGCATCAGCATCGCATGCTCTTCTGTGTTTGTTTACGTGTCTCCCTCGACCCCCTCGATTTTCACCTACAGTCCCCATCCCGTTTGTTCATGTGCCAGCCTTAGAAGTCGGAACGTTCTGATCGCGATCACGGCAACATTGTGGAACGTCCTTCATGATGGCTGCCATATGATTGACATTGAGAACCCTGTGGATGTGAGGCGTCACTTGGTGGGACATCCAAACAGCTTCTGCAACGGCAAGATTTGCTGCAGGCACGTTCCTTTCAGACTCTCGCAGACGGCGGATGCTGACTCTGATTTGTGATAAGTTTGCTTCGGGCTGCTGCCGAAAGTGAGGCCGTGAGGTGACGGCCCTGGCCGCAAGTGCCTCGCCCATGTTAAGAGGAAGCTTCAACATGGCGGAAGTTTGCAAGTCTTTGTGACTTCTTCGGAAGATTCTGGGGTCATGACGGATCATGTCAGGTTCGCTCGGAAACACGTTCATTGTCGGTTGCAGTGGGGGCCGTTTGGCCTGGTGGGACACGCGAGTCCAAGGCCGTGGGCAGCGGCACTACCTTACCCTAAACCCTAAACACTAAACCCTAAGCCCTTGATGTTTCTTTGGCAAATTGGACTCGAGGGCTGGCGCCGACTGGATCCTGCGACACCCGTCACGGGCCGGTGCGGTGCGCCGGGTTCGCTGATGCGGAACCTGGAACGTCCCTCAGTCGATGGGCACGGAGTTTCCCGCGATTGCTCCTAGAGAGATCCAGATCTCCGGACACGTCAGGTTCAAACCAATTGGCCACAGGAAGCGCTGATGGTCACCTGCAAACTTGGGATGCAAGGCACAAACAGTAGACTGTAGAGAGCCTGCCGTCCGCTGCTCTCTGCTCATATTGGCTGTCGGAGGCAGCTAAGAGCTCCGCTGTGCGATCTGAGCTGGCCAGGTGTGCCCAGCCAAGGCTTGGAATTCACTTTCCTCCTTGCCCCTTGCGTGCAGGGAGTGCTTGCGGCGGCGTCGGACATGTTGCGTGGGCTCCTTCCGGTAATCGAATGCCTGGCCCTTGGTCACAGCCGGTCGAATCTAAGTCCAACTCTCCTCGCGAAGTTGTCTGCAAAGTAGACTGTTTTCCTTGATTGCTTTCCTTGACTCATGAAGGCTGAGCTCAAAAAAAAGTTGCTGTTGCCCATGCAGCCACGCTGACTCAAACTCGTGCCCTTTTGAGCCATATTGGCTGATCTTATCGGTGATGGAGGCTGGCACATGACGAGTCAGCATGTGCTGCGCTTGCGACACCCTGTGCAGTCCAGGCCGACGACGACAGACGGACCTGGGACGGCAGCTACCTCATCAGCCCGCTAGCGCCCGGAGCCGCTCGCTTACTTCGGCTTTTGGGCGCACGTTTCTCGCACGCGCACGAAGAAGTCCGCTGTGGCTCAGGTTCGTACCGAGGCGCGGAGCTCCTGCGATGTCTCGCAGGACTTGTTAGCATGTCGATATATGTCGATGCATGTCTGCAGGAGATGCAGCTGGACAGCGAGCTGGTCTCCATCCTTTGTCATCGTAGTCGCCGTCGCCTGCGTGATCTGCAATACACTTGCAAGGCCTGCAGCGTGCAGTTGACTTCCTCCAGCTGTCAACCGGGATCGGTCAGCGATGATGCCGCTGCAGAAGGCTGTTGAGAAGGCAGGGTCCACGCGCCTGAAGGTCACCATGCGACTGGACCGGAACCGTCATGTCCTGAGCCTCACGGGCACTGATGCCGGCATCGAGGCCTCATGATTTTGGTAGTCTGGTAGCCTGCAGTGGATCACAGGGTGGAAGCGAAGTTAAGACATTCTCGCGTGGTCCTGTGCTTTGCAGATGGCCAAACAGCAGATCGAGGGACTATCAGGCCACGGGGGGAAGTGAAGCTGAGCAGTGCACTTAAAGCTCGCTCGCTTGACGCCTCGAAGTTTTGGTATGAACGTGGCCTGAAGTAGGTCCTCGACGTCAAGTGCCTCTGAAGGCCAGGAGCTTTCATGTCAGCATGGGGCTGGGTTGGGCTGGGGGCTGGGTGGCTTGGGCGGCTGGGGTAGGGGTAGGGGCAGGGGCCGGGAGGCGGGCGTGCTCTGAGCCCATTGAAAAGGTGAGACTTTGTCGCGGGGGGGGAGAGGCAGCAGGGCAGGGCTGGGGGCTGGGGCTGGCTGGGTTGGCGCTCTTGTTTGGCTTCCTTTGCAAACTGCCGGCTTCCCTCGGCCAGCTTCGGAGATTTTGCACACGGGCTGGCAGGTCTGGGTGGAGTTGATGCGCACCCGGACGTTGAGCTTAGATGACTTGGCCGAGCCAAAGACCGTCTCAGTGGCATGGGTGCAGGCCGACAGCTGTCAAAAGCCGCTGGCGAGCTACCAAAACTGAGAGCGCCACTGCCTGCTGGCTGGGATTGCCCTGTGAGGAATGCAGCGGATGCCGACTCCACATCGAGCGTAGCAGCTGCGAGGTGTCCTTGTTGATGTGCTTCGATGTTGCACAGCAGTGTTTGCAGGAGGCTGTGTACCGCAGGTACGCATCTTCGGCAGCCAGAGTGGTGCAGCCATTGCGAGCAAGATTATCGATGAGCCTTAGCTTACCGCCTCCCCGACTTTGGGATTTCTTTCTGCTTCAGAATTTGCATAGCAGGCCGCAGTGAAGCTTCCGCTTGCACCGAGGAGATGGAGTCGCTGTGTTGCGAGCAGACGATCCAAGTTCGGGGGGACCCCGCGGTGCTGCCCTCCCCTTAACCAGAAGGGTTCTTTCTCTGAAGAATGTTCTGCCGGCTTGCAGAACATTCTTTCTGGGTGTTTGTTGCCGTGGAAGGTGTAACTGTTTTTTTGCCGAGGAGCTCCCCGGCCCTCCAGAGCATTGCCCATGCTACCCGGCTCTGGCAGCGGTCGTCGTAGTATGTCGTGGTGCACTGGGACTCTCCGAAGCTTCTAGGATCTAGGCCCAGGCTAGGTCCTTAGGTCCCACTGAGAGGCTGGAATCTGTTAGCTAAAGACAGCCTTCAGCGATCTTCAGCGTGTAGATTACAGCCAAGGCTTGCAATGCAACCTTCCGGATCCAAGGACCGCAGTGTACTCTGTAATCCACGTTTTACACTTGCCTTTAGACTGAGACGACATGAGGCTGAGAATGTAGATGTCGAGATGTAGCGCTCCCAAAATCTCCCAAAGCGAATGTTTGGCAGGCCTTGGTATCGCGGTGTTGGGGCTGGAGGCAAACGCCGCAAGGGCAATTTCCCAGCTGGAACTTTTCCTTGACGATCCTCAAGGCTTCATGGCTGCTATTATTCGTTCGTTTGCTCTTTGCAGCTCCCGTTCTGATTTTCGTGAGTTGTTTCGTGTAGAGAGTGCGAGATGGCTTCCGTTGCAAGGCTACTGCCTACCAGATGCTAGCAAGCAGCCGCAGGCTCTGCAGGCTTGTTGCAAGGTGTTGCAAGCTAGTGTCAACATAAATAAAAAGGCAGCGAACTGCGTGCTCTGGAAGGAGACCCGGCCCAAAGCGCCATCCACGTCCCAGCCGAAGGTGGTGCCTTGGCGGCCAATGGCCTTGCGTTGGATAAGCACGACTTTCGAAAGTATGTCTAGGGCCAGGGCTTGTTTCTGTCATGGCCAGTTTGCATTGGCCAAGGTCGCTGGCCCACATGAGCGTACTAGTGGTGTGATGAAATAGCTGAAATAACTGAAAGAACCACCACAGCCTCACAGAGTCTTGCGCCCTATTGCAAGGACGCGGAGCCGAAGCGTGCCGAGAATGTTCCTCGATTGCAAAAATGCGCCTGAAGAGTTGAGACTTAACAGGTCTTCCGTTGATGGGCCGAGGTGTGCCCAACTTGTGGCAGCGGTCCGTACTGCAGCAATTGCGGACAATTGATTTGGCGGCACGGTTACGCCCCCAATCAGGGGACCTGCGTTTCGCCAGCAATGCAGTATCAGCTGCTCGGCAGACCTACGACGATTGGCCGTTTTGCTGAGCCTACGACCCTCGTCAGAGTTTTCTCCAAGGTTTGTCGTCATGCAGCCGATGGAGGCCAGAAGTTGCCATGCTGTTCCGATGCTTTCATTCTAATACTTTACCGAATGTACCTTTGCAGGCAGCCGGCAACATGAACTGCATGATGCCGAACATGCAGCCAATGCAGCCCATGCAGCCCATGCAGACTATGCAGCCCATGCAGCCCATGCAGTCTATGCAATCCCCCATGGTGCCAATGTGCATGCCCATGGTGCCTGTGCCGCAGCAAGTTTCCTCATACAGTTTTGCAGAACTCCATAAAAAACTGAAATGTCTGATGGTGTGATATCGTGTGTGCATGGAAGCGTTAGTTCTGTCCGAGGCCGTCGCTGTGCCGTATCTTTGATGCACGTGGATCAAGTTATAAGCCCAGCTGACAGAACCTCCATATTGCTGAGGCAGCCAGAACTGGCAATGGGAGGTTGACGACAGCATGTCGCTTGACCTTTCTTATCGTTCGCTCAGGAGCAGGAGGCCAAATGCACTTTTTGGTTCCGGCGATTCAGACAAAGTGTGGAGGAGACTCTATGTCTGCTAAACTGAGTGGTCCACTCGTAGCTGAGGCTCCCCCGCCATCCCGTGCTGCTCAGAGCCAGATGGATCATGCTTAAGAAAGCAAGCAGCTCCCAGACTCAGCGGTTCGCATCCGCGTGTGCGGCAAGAAATATGCCGCCAATTCCATGGTGGTGCCGTCGCAGGCACCCAGAATAATCTGGAGGGGTCAGACGCAGAGACGCTAGAAAGCAAGAACACTGCTGTAGTTTTCATGACCTGTCCAGCTCTCAGCTGCAGGCAATCATCGATTTTCGATCCGACTGCATCAAGATGCATCGACATGAGTAGAGAAGTAGCATGTTAAGACATCTCGATGCGGCCGTCATATTTTCCACCCAAGTCTTCGGGCGACGAACGACGCGATGCGTAACCTGTTGACAGAGTGTGCCTTGATCTGCAACTCCCGCTTTCTTTTTGTTTTCTAGACAACGCAGCCGCCCAGTCAATTTGAAATTCGTGCTGCCATGTCAGTCCACTGTTGGCAAGTGATGTCTTATTCTTCTCTGCCACGCGCTGCTACAACAGCATTCTCCGTTCTAGATACAAGACTTCTTGGTGCCTCTCGCTCTGGTCTGACACGCAGCGCCCCAGACTCTCAACCTTTCGGTTCAATGGGCTGCCGAATTTCTCCTGGTTCCTGCCCATCCGTTCCCGGCAAAACAGAACAACTGTTTCACCGCCAGCTGCCCTTTGTTGATCTTGTACTGTACCGACAGGCTACCGAGTTCAAACTGTTTTGGGTGCAATCGACGCCAGAATCCGCTTCATGGCGGCGTCGGCCAGCTGGCAATGGATCCAACGGCATGTTGCGCATGGCTAGCCTTCCACGTGTTTATAAGGTCCCTCTATCTCCGTGCTTTAATAATGTGTTTGTGTGTGGGTGCGGAAGTACATATGTGTATGTATGCATGCATGTCTGTCTGTCATTCTTAACAGATGCGCACGTGCATGTATACACATACAGGCTGCTTGAAAGCTGAGACATTGACATCATTGGTTGCCAAACGCACTTGTAGATCAGCCTCGAACAGAGGCTGAGTGATCCTGTGTGGCGATGCGGGATTGCGTCAAATTCTTTGTATCCAGACTTGTCAGCATGGGACGAGCGGCCGGCACTGTCTGTGCCGTGTGCTGACGAGCAAGTTTTTGACCACGTCCAGAAGCTGCACAAACCGCTCTCGATGGTGCCACAGGCCCAAAGAGGAAGCGAAAGGCGCTCAATGCCTGCAAAATGCACAACTTGTGCATAACACGAGCAGAGCGCTGAAGGCAGTGGCAGATTGGCCGCTCCTCAGCATTGCCCCTTCAAATGAAACACTAAGAGGGTACCTTGAGGTCTGAGTGAAGAAGGAGGCACAGCTTTGGAATGGCTATCCCAGACCCTACACTACTCGTTCTGCACAATGGTGCAACAAAACAGTGCTCGCTGGTCGGATTTGACACGCTTGTGGCGCGTGCGCATGCTTGCGCAAGCCTGCCACCGTGCTTCCGTTGAGGCTGGCAGCAGCCTGTGGAGATGGTCGGGTGGTGTCTGGGCCTCGACGACTCTTTCCAATAACTGAGTCTGCTGCTTTGGGTTTTGAGGCTTTGGGACGCGGCGCAGAGCGCGGAAACGGAACCGCCAGCGCGTGCCGGCCTGTTTCGAGCCTTCTTTCTGCCCCCCAATAGGCGTCCGCGAGATTCTTTGGGACTCTGCCAGATCTCTGGGAGCCAGTGGGAGCCCCCTGAAGCGAAGTTTGTCAATGCCTCAGTGGTTTTTCAGCACAGCATAGCACAGCAGGGCAGAGTCGAAGGAAAGGCCCCAATAGGGGCGGGATTGAAATTGGATCCCCGAAGATGTCTCAAGGCAAGACTAGTTGGATAAGAGACTTATGCAGGCTTCGTGGGCTCCGCAGCTCCATGAAACTTCCATGCATGTGTGCCCTAACAGGTTCATGGAGCACATTCCGGACAAGACGTCTGCGGCCCGAAGCTCAGTAGATGAGCTGCAGTGGTATCCGGGCCAGTCCGGCATCAAGCATGTTGAAAAGTTTAATGTAGGCACAGACCGCTTGAAGTGCTTTAAAGGTCTCGCTTGGAGTCGAGACTGTCCATGGCTGCTCGCCTCTGCCGTGAGGGAGGCGCGCCAGAGGTCATTTACTAGATTGACAGACATAGCAAGTGCATCAAGCAAGTGCTTGTCGCTTGATCATCAATTTCGTCAGCAATGCCATGACCATCAGCACCTTCGCGAATGCCGTCATCTTCTACTGCATCAATCATCACCATCATCATCGTCATCACCATCACCATCAGCATCACTGTCACTGTCACCATCACCACACCACCATCACTATGATCATCACCTGATCATCTTCATCATCAGGGGCATCTTCATCATCAGGTGCATCTTCATCATCAGTTGCATATCTTTATCATCAGCTGCATCTGCATCATGTTAGGGATGGCCCCGTATTCGTCCCTTGAGCGTCTCCGGTGGCTGCACGTCCCGGAGGATCTCCAGTTTTGGCGCCCGGCCGCAGCGCTTTTTTGATGCGCCCCAGGCGAGCCACGGTGGATCAGCTTGCAGTCCAGCGACGACTTTGTTAATGGTGTGCACCTGTCTGTTTTTCTTTCGTGTGTGTGTGCATGTGTGTGTAATGTTGGTCTTTTCATTTTTTGTTGTGTGAGAACCCAAGACCTTTGCACAGGAGTTCCACACATGAGGCCTTATTCAGTCTCTAGAACCAGTTCTGTTGACAACCCAGCTGGCTCCTGGCTGACGGTGATGATGGTGGTAGTGGAGATGATGATATTTGGTGGTGATGATGATGATGACGCGGACGAGACCCGCCACGGCTCTTCGTCGCCGTCTCTGTTATTCGTCCTTTTGAGTTATGACGTTACATTCAATTGTCTGTTCTGCTGCAGCTGCATCTTGGCGAAGTTCCGAGTCGTTGCAGTATTGGCAGCTCGGATGAACTCTTCATAATCCAACCATGTCTACATCCCTCATGCAGGCATGGGCGAGCACACTTCCTGCATGCCCACTTTCCCCTGTTGCGGAAAGACAGGCACTGGGAGCCTGAGGTGAGCCTCGGCGTCCTTCGAAAAATGGGCCACTGAATTCGATTTTCTCAGTCGGAGCACGGCTCAGGTAGCAGACGCCTGCATGCAAAATGCATGTCTGTGCTTGCTTGGGCACCTCTCTCGGCTGCCTTATCCGACAGTTCTTGTTATTCGTCATTGCTGTTGTATAGAACTTATCAATCCCGCGGCTGCCTTTGTGAGCAAAGCTGGCCAAGGATCCTGTCCCGGGGGTGCGGTGAAGGCTGCTTTTAAAAAAGAGGATGTTGCACCGTCTGTCCCTTGCTCATTGCATGCTTTGGAGTTGAGGTTGAAGCTGCGATTTCTCCGGGCTCTTCAATCTGGCTAAAAAAGCGAGCATCACTATGTTGGAGATGCGTGCAAGACACCGCGTAGGTCTACGTGAATGTACTTCGTTGAAACCCAAGTCCAAAATCATCGCCTTCGTATTGCACTCAGCCATGCCGGCTGTGAAGCTGGAGCGAGTTGGGCGAGTTGCCAGAATTCTGTTGAATATGCCAGAGAAGATGAACGCCATGACATCACAGCTTGTGGACGATTTTGGCAAGGTTCTGGACAAGATCAGAACAGACGCTTCTGAATATGGTGCTGTTGTAATCACCGGTGCCGGCAACTCGTTCTCAGCCGGTGGTGACCTCGCATGGTTGAAGCTGCGCGGCAAAGACACACCCTCCAGAAATTCGCAGATCATGCATGACTTCTACCACCGATTTTTAGCCATTCGATCCCTGCCTTTGCCGGTCGTGGCTGCAATCAATGGACCCGCTGTTGGGGCTGGCATGTGCCTGGCGATGGCATGTGACATCCGCATTGCCTCACAAAGTGCAAAGATGGGCTTTCCTTTTGTCTCCCTTGGACTCCATCCGGGAATGGGTGCGACTCATCTCATTCAATCCGTCGCCGGCTTTGAAACTGCCTACAGGCTGCTTCTCACAGGAGACTTGGTGAATGGGCTGGAAGCCAAAGAGCTTCGCCTGGTGTCGCAAGTGGCAGCTGATGGGCCGACAGCCCAAGCCGAAGCCATGGAGCTCGCCGGGCGCATTGCCCTCCAAGCTCCCGTGGCGGTCAGGTCCCTGGTGCGCTCTCTCCGCCGCAAGCAAGAGGCCCGGGGCCCTGGATGCCACAGCTGTCATCATAGCTGAAAGGCCGAGTGCCGCCTCAAAAGCCGAGGAGGGACTCGAGGCCGCCCTTTGGCGCGAGGCGGATGCCCGCGCCTCAGAACTTTCTCATCATACTGTCCCGTTTTGGAAGGCTTTTTTTGTCACCTGAGGCCCAAGCACACTGCTACGCAACCCATGACCTCTCGGAGGGTCTCAAGGCCGAGGGAGGCAGCGACGACGGATTCGCGCCGTGCAGCTGCACGACAGGCGTCCCTCGAGCGCCGCCCACCGCGCTGCAGACTCAGGAAGACGGCGGAGTGGAGGAGGATAGCCCAGAGCCACATCTGCCGAGGCTTTGAGCTCAACGAGAGCTATGCGGACGTGGATCCACCCCCGAAGCCCAAGAGCAACTTGTGAGACGAGCGCTTGTCTTGCAGACTTCGTGCGGGCCTTGCAGAGCAAGAAAGGGCTTCACCTGCCGGCACACTCTGGCACACGGATCCTGGAGCCTCCAGCTAAGTGATGCTACCATGCAGACTTGCTCCTCTTCTACTTATTCTCCTAGTTTCTCTGCTGCCCTCTTTTCACAGGAGATGCGCTCAGCCAGCTTCTTGCAGAGGCACAGGCGAAGCAGGCGGCAGCTGCAGCCCAGTGGTTTCGGTGGTTTCTACGGTAAGGCTCTCGAGTCGACTGCTGCTCAGAGGCGGCCAAAGATGATGCCGCTGCCAGGAAGCGAGAGCGAAGGCTGTCTGGGCTGCGTCCCTTTTTTATTTTTTCTGCACACGTCATTGCCACGCTGCTGATCGCAGGAAGCGGAATCGTCAAAAGGCAGTCTGCAGATGGGAGGAGACCTTGGATGCCGGCTTGCTCGTTTCCCACTGCTGGCAGGCGGAAACCGCTGAGACCCATGCGGTTGCGCAAATTGACTCCGCCACACTTGCAAAGGCGACCAAAACAAGTAGTCCGGAGGCCACGATGAACGCCGCAAGTCAGGGCAGTGTCTCTAGCATGCCTCAGCATCACTCTGATCGTGCATGGTTGCGGTCTCTATCGAACCGCTAGTTGAAAGTGAATTGCCCTTTGTCAAGCGTCATCCGAACTGCCGTTGCTCGAACACTTGACTCCTGCTCTGGGGCGCCGTGCAACGTGCAGACCGGAGCCCAGCTCAAGTCTGTAAGTACTCCCTCCGGCCACCTCAAACTTCACGAGGCTTGGACAAAGAGCGCCGGCGGAAGCCGCAAGGCGGGCAGCAGTCCCTTCATTGAGTCTCCCTTCGTTTAGCTACGGCTTTCAGTTGGACACGGCTCATCCTGCAAAGGCTTTCACGCATGACGTTTCAGTTAGATCCTTGTGGGTCGGAGAAGTGGAGTCACCTGAATCAGTGTCTGCAACCACTTCCTCTCTCTTCCTAGTTGAAATCAAGATTGCATTTCTAAGGCCTATCTTGGTTTGCAGTCTTTGGTAAGTCGAAGCTGCTGTGGTGAGGCTGTGATGCCGCCCAAGGCCTGCAGCTGAGAAAAAATTGCGCGATCACACTCATCAGAAAATGGGCAGCATCTGTACCCGTGCAGAACTTGGGATAATAGTTCCACTGACACGAGTGTCAATAGAACCTCAGGCGCCGAATGTTGGTAGCCTGCGGACTGAGAAAGGGCTTGCGGAGCTCAATGAGCTGCTTTCATCCAGGTGCACAAAGGGCCACGGGGAGCTGCCCTGATGTTGATCGGACAACTGCTCTGCAGGTCCTATGTTGGCGGCACCATAGTTGCTACAGCAGAGGACGTTGCCAGGGCAATCTTCACACTGCTGTGCACGACGAGCTTTCGATGGCTTGCTCTGTGAGCTTCGATTGACGGATTCGCTTGGTGTATTCTGCCTCAACTGGAGGACATGACGTTTTTTGCCCAAGTTCCTTCTCGGCCAGATCGACAGAAGGCTCGCCCCTTCTACAAAACGCAAAGCTTTCCGGCCTCGATTCTGTCAGTACCCCCACCTGCTGAGATGGCTCGGGTCCTGGCGTCCAGTGGGTAGCTGTTTTGGGGCTACTGCATGGCGTATCAAAGCCAAGATGACGACGGGGGCCAAGGTACAACCATATCGCGGGATTGCGAGCCCGTCATGCTCCATACCACGTTTGGCCAGGGCAGACGAAGACCTCGCAGGTTGGATCACTTTGATGGTGATGCGAGCAGAGTGTCATGACGTTGTGTGGGCGTTCGAAGGACAGCGAACCAGCAGGGCAAGAGACAAAGAAGGCCCGGAAACAGAATGCACACGCATGCATGTCAAAGTATTTAAATGTAGACAGATATGTAAATGAAGGTAGATGAGGTAGATGACGGTAGATGCATGAAATCCTTCAATGGGGTGCTATAAGCCACCTCGACCTACGCACGTCCCTATCACTAGAACAGAACATGGAATGGAATGGTTCCCATGTGTGTCTATATTGGGCGTGCAACAAGATGTAATAAGATATCCATGACGCGTGCATACATGATCGAGAAGGGCCTTGTGAGACATGTCCATGGTCTGGTCGTTTCTGGTTGCTGTCTTCTTGTGGCTGTTGAAGTCTTGTGAGTCAGGGGCCGCGCGCACCCGGCAAAGAGAAGCAGGTTCTGCCCTTCGACTGTAAGGCGCCACTGCACATCGCTCTGGTTGTGGAAGAGTTGTGGAGAGCTCTAAGGGAAGTTTGTTGATGCGACAGGTCGAGGCTGTCGAGGATCGGCGCCAGGTCCAGGGAGACGATTCGGTGAAACGAGGGGCAGGCTCGGTTCGGGTTCGGTTTGCTTCTGCTTGACCTGGAGCAAGCTGGTGATGCATGCCGCACGATTTTGTCGGGTTGTCTGGAAGGATAGCTCGAGTGCCACGGAGCGGGATTGGATTGATTTGATGTACACCACCTGGCAGGAGGCACCTGCTTTCCCTCCGCTGAAAAGGGTCCCTACGGCCGGTGCCCGTTCTTGCAGATCTTCGAAGATTCCAAGCTGGTCTTCAGCCGATTGAAAGCTGTTTCTGTTGCAATTCGATGGTCGTGTGCATTCTCTTGATGCACCTGGACGCAGACACTCCTCAGGTACTACATCACGACCGCCATTAACTATTGCAACGGCTGGCCACACATAGGCCCACTGTCGGGGTGAACCTTACACGTATTGGCGTTTGTCAATGTCTCTTTATTACAATGTCTGTGTGTGCTTGCTTGCACCTGAAGCTCACGTGAAACGACCTGCGAGGTCATGCCTATGAGGCGCTCACCTCAGACGTTTTTGCCAGGCCCAGCGGAGCGGAGCGGAGCGGCATGCACAGAGTTGTGGAGCTCCTGTACGCCCAAGCGCACAGGTACCATCGACTGCTCGGGCAGGATGTGTTCTTCATGACAGGTGCTGATGAGCACGGGCTCTTGGCTCAGCTGTGGATCCCAGGCTTTCACCTTTGCAGAGTATTTGGCCTGGAGTGAGAGGCAGAAGATTGCGCAAGCTGCAGAGAACGAGGGCCTCCAGCCCCAAGAGATCTGCGACCGCTACTGCGGCCGCCTCGGTCGTGTGTAGCCGCTATGTAGCCGTCAGACTGTCATGCCTCGACATCGAAAGGCATTGGCTTCAGGGCGCTAAACCAGCGCTTAAATGCTATGGGCTCAGTGTGAACAGCAGAAAAATCATGTTTTTTGTGTTGGAGAAGTGCGGTCGGCAGAGCTGAAAGACAGGTGTCAAATGATTTCTACGTTCGCACGACTGCCGACCGCCACAAAGTTTGGGGCCCGAGTCCACTGCACTCGAAACGGCTCGAATGCGTGCCGAGCTGGCGTTCTTCTCGTGGTGAAGGTAGCTGTGCACACACTGCGAGCTGCCGCGATCGTGATATAGCATTTCCACAAATCAAGATCCTATCTTTGGGGCTGTTTCTATCGGTGAACTGCCGAGGTTGTTGCAAGGTCAGTCTGGGATATTTGCAAGAAGAAGGGGGACATCTACCTCGACCGCTACGAGGGTTGGTGAGCGCCATCCGGGAGAGCGGTCCTCGGGTTGAGGATGCAGCCCCCGAGAACAGGTACATGGTCCGGGAGGAGCGGTTCATCACGGACCAGGAGGCACAGGAGTTCAATTTCAAGGCCGGGTAGGGATCGCAGACAGGAGGGGGTGGTCGGATTTCCCTGAGTTGAGGGCTTCTTTCTCCAGAGTTGGATTTTGATGGAGGGGTGTTCATGTTGCGTTCAAGCACAGGAAGGCTGAGGGCTTCAGGGATGGAGCTGCGAAGGAGTTCTGCATGGATTGGGTTTCGGGCCGCATGCTTCAGAACCTGCTCCGGTTCCTGAACTCATGCTCATGCTAAAACTTCATGGTATACCGAGCCTGTTGTTGTCGGCTGTCAGGACCCCACCTCCGGAGCACCCTTGAAGAAGATGCCATGCACCCAGATGGCCGACAGTCTCCGTCCTTGCTTGCATGAGGCTTGTCTCGTCCCTGCATCTTGTGCTTATCATGTGGGCTTTGCTGAGTGAAGCGATGCATTGTGAGTGCATGCAAGCGAAGCATTACATGTTTCCGTGGCTTCTCGTGATGCTGGCCGAGTCGTGGCACGTGCTGCTAAAGACATTGGTATAGCGGCGTAGCAGGTCGTTCTCCAAAGCTTGGCTTAGCTGTGAGGGCAAATGCCTTCGGAGCAGCATCATTCGTTAGTCGACGCGATGGGCAGATCCAGGCTGATCCGACAGGGTCCTTGCCACTATCACTATGCTAGGTCTGAGCCCAGCTTCTTCTTCCGCCTCTCGAAGTACCAAGAGAAGGTGATCAAGCTGATCGAGGAGCCACTCGCGCGGCCGCGCGAAGCGTCCTTGTCCTTGAATTGCAAAAAAAAAGCGTGAGCGTCGCCGCTTCTTGGCAGGAGCAGCCGGAGTTCATTCAACCAGCTCAGCCTGGCCCCGAACGTGGAACACCGCAAAGCATGGCAGCGCAAGCGAGCCCCCGAGCACCCCTCCTTGGACCGCAGAGGTACAGAGGAGAGATCCTGGAGCGGCTGAAATCCATCGAGGTTGGAGCCCGTCGCCTTTGGCTTCCTTCGACCCTCGCGAGCCCCTGCTGCCCTGATCGCAGCTGTTTGGCATGATGCGAGAAACGATGGCGGTCAAGCCTCCGGAATTCGGAAGTCAGATGGAAGTTCAGCTACTGTAACGGCTAAAGTTCCAAATCAAGATTGTCTTACCGTACTGTCGCTGGTGCTGACGCAATGCCTGCTGCACAGATCCTCATCGTGGGAGCCGGCGTGACAGGCTCCATGCTGGCCTTGCTCGCAAAGGACATGGGCCTCTCCGTGCGCGTGCTGGAGAAATCGCGTGGTGCTGGCGGCCGGATGGCGACCTACGGCTACCGTCATGGTGATCGGTCTTCTCCGTTGCTTGCGCAAGCAGATCTTGGGGCACAGTACATTACAACCAGAAGCTCGCCAGACCATCCAGTTCTGGGTCCGCTCTACAAGCGCCTTCTGGATGCCGGTGTCCTGAAGCCTTTCACCGCTGAGATTGCAGGTCCAAATCCGTATGGAGCTGCAAGTTCAGATGTGCGCCACTTTACAGCTCCGAACGGATTGAAATCCGTCTCGCAGTATCTGCTGGAGTCATCAGGTGTGCCCGTAGATTGGGGAGTAGCGGTGGACGACTTGACATTGTCAGAGGCCGGGGACGTCTCCGTGTCAGTCAAGGAGGGGTCGCTGCCTGCAGACGCTGCGACAGCCAGCGTTGTGGTGTTGACACAGCCCCCCCCACAAGTCTTGGGGGCCAGCAAGTTTGGAATGCGCGGCAGCTTTCTGCAGCACACACCAGAGACGGTCTCGACAAGCCTCAAGAAGGTGGAGTACTCCTCGCGGTTTGCCGTGGCATACTTCTTCGACAAGTCTAAGGTCACTTGGCCTTTCACCTGGACTTGCCAGTACTTTGACAAAGGCGACGTTCGCTACGTGGCGCATGATTCAGCAAAACGACACTCGACACACGAGACAATGATCTCGGTGCTGGTGCACAGCGGGGTTCCCCTGGGCATCGAGCTTCAGGATGAGGAGGAGGGCACTGTCTCTGAATCCGTTCGTTGTGAATTCTGCACGCTAACCATCTTTTGCCGACCCTTATTGTTGTTCTTGCCCCGCAGGACCCCTTCCCAACGGCCGCTGCGCGGCTGCAGCGCGACCTCGAGGACAGGGGCCGTGGGAAATCGACCCGAGGGAACGTTTTTTTTTTCATCGTTTTGTCCCTTCGAAAAGTCGCAGCTTTCGCAGCTTCTGTGCCAGGCGAAGCTGCCTGAGCTGCCTTGGGCTGGAGCAGAGGCCTCTTTTTAGGCTGGACCGAATTCAATCGATGTCTCGGATTCTCCCTGTGAGGGATCGAAGGTCCACAAGTGGAAGTACAGCCAGGTCTACAAAGGCCTGGACTAATGAGAGGTTTTTCTGCGTGGCAGAATGCTGATGACCATGATGACGATGACGACGCTGGTGGTGGCTGAAGAAACGACAGACGCTTTAAAGACGAGCATGATTTGCAGTTCCGCTCGGAGGCTTTGGTGGTGCAAGGCTTGCACCTGACTGGGCCTGGAATGTGGAGGAAGCCAAGGAGGCCGCGCTACAATTCCGCCTTGAAGATACCGGGGCGTGTCTCTTCAGCCAGGCTTGAAGAGCTTACGATCATATCCTCATCGGAAAGCGAGTGCTGCTGCAGGCAGCGCCTGGCTGCGTCCCCCTCTTCCGGACAGACAAGTCCCTCGGCCTTCTTTGCGGCTTGGACGAAAGACCAAGAGCTTGGGATAACGGCCCGGCGGCTGTTCTGAAGTTGTGCACGTGGAAACCGGGCAGCCTTGCTGCATCTGAGGCGGAGATGCCATGGCTCCTGCGGGCAATTTCGAGGGACCCGCAGCCTTCAATCACATTGACATGTGAGTCTAGTGCCTCCAAGCTGTAAAGGGCCTTGCAGCTTGACCCTAGGATGCGTTTACAGCGCACACAAAGCCGCAGAAGCCTTGCGAGCGCACTTCTGCAAGAGCGTGCCGAGCCTGCAATCAGCTGTGCAAGTAGACTTCCACCCTTCCAGCACAGGGTCGCCGGACGTGACCGGAGACCCAAATTCTGATGCAATGACAGACCGCTAACACTGGTACCAGTAGCTCGCCGTTTTCCCTGAAGTGCTTGAAACAACGGCAATTTTTTGCGGCGAGTTGTGAAGATGAGTCTAATGGACTAAGGAACCATGAGCATAGCGGCTTGCGACAGCAAAGAGTGCTTCGCGACTGTACATGCTTTGTTCGGTCTCCCTGGCTCAGATGGCTGCAAAAGGCAGTCGTCCAGGGATGCTCGCTTGGTAGGTTTTCGGTTTTCAGGTCCCAAAATTTTCAGCGATGCGAATCAGCTGTGACAAAACTGCTCAGCGCTTTCAGAGCCTCGGCCTCACGTCTCACACGTCGGCATCTGATCCTGCTGCATGGAGCCTTTCGCCAGCTCCGCGACCTCTCCATCAGCCGTGGAACCTTCGACTGGGGCGCTGCGCCCTGAGCCTTCATGGCGTGCGGTTTGGACCCCCTTGCCATTGTATGTCGCGGCTCTCCTCGGGCAGTTTGCTCGCGCTCCTGTTGCGAAAGCAGTTGAGATGACCGCGGAGCAGTGTGAGCCTTTACAAAAGGAAAGGCACTGCGGCCCATATTTGTTCGCAATTTGTGTATCGTAGGATGACGACCCGTAGTACTTTGGGTGTTGGGAATGTTGGCTGAGGTCAGCTGTCCAGAAGACTTGGTTGACGGCAAGAGACACGTGTCAATCTCAACTCCATTTTTGGGGAAGCCGAGAGCTACGATACTATCACCTCTCAATCCTGCTAGCGTCTTGCAGGTCATGTATGTGTGGTTCGATGCCCTCATCAACTACCTCAGCGGCATTGCACGCGCCACAGCTTCTGCCAAGCACGACTCAGCCAGCACCAGGGCTTCCTCTCCTCGGAGGACGGGATCGATCCCAAGAAGCCGCTGAGCAGATTCTGGCCTGCCAACATGCACATCGTCGGCAAGGCTGACTTGACACGGAACTTGGGACCTTTCTCCCCAGATCATTTAGCACAGGATATCCATTGGTTTCACACGGTTATCTGGCCAGCGATGCTCATGAGCGCAGGCTGGCGATCCACACATGTCCGTTTCTGCAAGCTGTGAGCCGATCCTTCGAGGAATTCCACTGCCTAAAAGCGTGGTGGTGCACGGTTTCATTGCTGGCGCTGATGGCCGCAAGATGCTGGTTCCCAAGTATGAGTAGTTGAAGACACGGGCCATGCGTGACGCCGTTGTCCAACGTGTGGTCGAGGTCCAAAAGTCTGGGGAACGTCGTGGACCCGCATGACATGTTGGGATCTAACCTTGATTGTTTTGCCAGTGAAAGATCTCTATTGTGAACCTTTTTGCTTGCTGGCGCGTTGTCGCCAGAGAGGCTGGACAAGTTTCCCTGTGACACCCTGCGATGGTACTTCTGCCGTGAGGCACGGGCATGACCCTTGTGCTCTCTTGATCTCCGAGTGGTGTGAGCATCGTCACTGCCAGCATCTATTTGCCATGTCTCCGGATGCCAGGCGGCCTTCGGGGACGATGTCAGGTTCAGTGAGGCTTGAAAGGATGCCAGGATGGATAGGTCGCCTGTTGTAAAGTTCAAGGACTCCCTCCGCCTGATGCACAACGCCGAACTCTGTGGCCACCCAAGACACATCTGCCTCGTTTCTCTCTCTCTCTCTCTGTTTCACCCTCCCCCACTCCCTCCCCCTTGTCCGGACTCCACTTCTGTTGTCCCTCGTCGCCCTCTTGTACATGCTGAGGCGACAACCTGGGAAACTTGGTGAATCGTGCGGTGAACCTCAGCGGCGGCTCCGCGATCCCGGCATGTTGGGGTTCGGGCGTTTGTCGAGTCCATCAGAGAGAACCTGTCACAGCCTCGGTTCGAAGGTGCCCCGCTGTGACGTCGAGGTGTCCCTTCCTTTCGACCTCAAAGAGCTGAAAGCCTCGGTCTCCGAGGCAGCGGCAGTGGTGTTGACATGGCCCACAGCGTGAGCCCAGCCCGCCTAGGCCTTCGAAGCCTACCGGCTTTCGGACGCGGCCGACCTCACTGTCCGGGCGGCAGCGGCGACGAACAAGGCCACCATAGGCCTCCCCGCCGGGCGAGTTCGGAGATCCGCTTCGTCTCGCCAGTGGATCGCGGACCTCGAGCCCTGGAAGATGAAGGCCCAAACCTCGGCTGGGCCTCCCCGGGGTTCAAGGGCGCAGCCGGGAGCTTTGCCCTGGCCAGGCAGAGGATCAGCAGGCGCGCCGGAGTGCATGCCTCCGCAAGCTGCTGGAGGCGGGAGTAGTGGCAGCTGTCGGTTGCGGCCTCCTCAGATTGCCCAGCGCGTTAAGCTGGCCGACAGAGCCCATGGTATGCGTAGCTCGCCTTGGCGAAAAAATGCAGAGCACAGAAGCAACGTACGCAGTGCATCCCTGGCCAGGCGGTCTACGCTTTGGCCCACTTCTTCGCACCCTTCATCCCTGTGGCTGCAGAGGTGCTGCCTTTGTGCTGAGACAGCCCCAAGAACTCTTGGGATGGAAGCTCGTCCAGCTGCTTCAAGCACGGCTCCCGCTTCCCCTAGAGGCGATCTTCGGGAAAGTTGGCCAGCCGCCAAGGCAGCGGAAACCAACGAGGGCCATCTTCTTAGAGATTTCTCCCATTTTGTGGCGCCTCGTCACAGGCCCATCCCCGACTTGCGCGATGACTTTGCCAACCTCGAGGATGGCAAGGAGGCCCCGAAGATTCCAAGATCCGCGGCCCGAAGCCGAAGCTCCTCGCGTCTTCAGGTCAAGGCCACCTCCTTGCTCTTCAGCCAGCTGGAGGTGAAGAAGGCAAGGGGCACCTTCCGGTATTTCGCTACTTCAGGACTCCCTCCCTCCCTCCCCTGACGTCTTTGAGAGGTGGACGTGGACGCCGCGACGGAAAAAAAGGCGCGCATCGGGGCGCGAAGTAGAGGACACCTCAACTGCCTGAGTACTCGCAGCGGCCAGGCTGAAGCAAAAGCCAAAGCCGACTCGAAAAAGAAGTAAAGAAACGAGGAGCAGTTAGAGGCCAGGCTCGTCGCTGGCTGCTTTTTGTCCGCCCATGACTCCTGGCAGGTCAGGCAGCCCTGGTGGTGCAGAGTGCTTTAATTTATATATAGTGCCTTTGCACCCATTGGAGAGATTGTACAGCATGCCTGTCCTGACATGCGGAAAAACTTGAATGCGCTTGCATCTTCCCCTTCCCGATGTGTGTCAGTGAGTGCATATGCATGTATTGGCTGATCTGGCTCCTCCGAAACTCCCTATCTCTATCTATCCCTCCTTCTACTCAACATTGTAACATGCCTCCTACTCCCCCTCACTCACCTCCTGACTCACCCGACGTGGGGCTTCTGCTATTTTGTGGCTCTCAGGAATCCTTGCAACGTGCTCTCCTGGTATCCGCCACATAAGGCATGGCCAAAGATGGGTACGAGAAGCCGGCACCCACCGGCCTTGCCGCAGGACTACGGTGTGAGTACAAAGAGTGTTCACAGCCATGCATACATTGATCGAGCAGGCATGCATGCATATAATATATGATCCCGGGTCTACCACGCATACCTACCGACACCTACTTATACCTACCTATACCTACCTATACCTGCTTATACCTCCCTCTACCTGCCTATACCTACCTATACCTACCTGCCTGCCTTACCCACCTCTCTTACCTACCTACCTGCCTGCCTGCCTGCCTGCCTGCCTGCCTACCTACCTACCTACCTACCTAGCTAGTGTGCGTAGGTACGTCTGCACGCAAAGCATACACACACAGACGTACATGCAAACAGTCTACGTGCATCTGTGCAGTATATACATACATAAATGCGTAGAGGTACATACATAAACACATACATACATACATACATACGTACATACATACATACATACATACATACACAGACATACATACATACATACATACATACATACATACATACATGCATACCGTACAGGTACATACATGCACACATACATGCATGCATACGTGCATACATGCATAGAGGTACATACATGCACATGTACATGCATGCATACATGCAGGCATGCATACAAAGACATTTCTTCATGTATGTAGGGCGATATGTATACTTGTATATATACATGATTATACATGTATGCACAGCTGCTGTGTGTATGCATATATTCGCATCTAGGTAGCTGCATGATCGCATGCATGTGCTCACCGACCCTGCCGCAGGCCTGAACAAGGGCTTCATCGTCACCAGAAGGCAGCTGAAGCCAAAACCTTCTTACCGCAAGGGCAAGAAGTGCGGACGCGTGGCCCTCGTTCGCGAAGTGGTCCGCGAGGTGGTGGGCTTTGCGCCCTACGAGCGCCGCATGATCGAGCTGCTGAAGATCGGCTCCGCCTCCACCTTTAAGCGCGCGCTGAAGTTGGCCAAGAAGAGGTTGGGCACCCACCGCCGCGGCAAGAAGAAGCGCGATGACATGATGGAGGCCGTGGCAGCCATGCGCCGCAAAGGATGATTGAATTGTGAAACAGTGGAGCGGATTACTACCCGGACAACGAGAGAAGCACGAAAGGAAACAAATCACACCTTGCTGATCCGACAAGTTGCGTCTGGTTGCAGTGTGCTTTGCTACTACTCATGACAGGCTGCATAGGTCAGAGGCCAGAAGCAGCCGCCAACATGCCATTGTGTTTCATTCAACACTTCTCGGCTCAAAGGGGTCCTGACGGGACGGGAAGTGTCCGTAGCTCAACAGGGGCAAGATGGCGAAGGACGGGTACGAGAAGCCGGCAGCGACCGGCCTTGCTGCAGGCCTGAACAAGGGCTTCATCGTCACCAGAAGGCAGCTGAAGCCAAAACCTTCTTACCGCAAGGGCAAGAAGTGTGGACGTGTGGCCCTCGTTCGCGAAGTGGTCCGCGAGGTGGTAGGCTTTGCGCCCTACGAGCGCCGCATGATCGAGCTGCTGAAGATCGGCTCCGCCTCCACCTTCAAGCGCGCGCTGAAGTTGGCCAAGAAGAGGTTGGGCACCCACCGCCGCGGCAAGAAGAAGCGCGATGACATGATGGAGGCCGTGGCGGCCATGCGCCGCAAGGGATGAGAAGTAGCTTCGGCGAAGACCTCCTGTCCGCTCAATCAGGCTTGTCAAAAAGCTGGGCATATTTTCGCTGCACTTGCTTGCTGATGTCAGGCAGTTTCCGAGAAGCGTAAGTCCCGTATCCAGAAGCCTCGCATGCGGGGCTGAGGGCAATCGTAGGTAGTCGGCGGAAGGACAGGCATCAGGGTGTAGTTCGGAAAGCATGGCGGCATCACTGCGTTTAGGGGCTTTGCTGCAATCAACCAGCAGCTCTCGTGGCGTAGTGCTGCCATGGCGGCCTCCTATCGATTCTCACTGGAGGATGTGTGCTGGCAGCAGCACCTCAGGGACGAGGGCTTCGTGGTCCTCGCCGGGGCGCTTGTGCCTGAAGAGGTCGCGGTGATTCTCAACTCTCAAGCCCTAGCAGACATGACATGGGCTAATCAGCCCTAGTAAATTGAACTTTAACCTGCAGTGTATTGGCCCTCGCAGTGAGGTGGAGGTGGCGAAGGACTTGCTTTGGACAGATCTGGAGGCCGCCTACGGCGTGTCGCGCGAGGGGCCCGAGTCCTGGAAGAAGTGGCCCCTGAGCAAGACCGGCCTCAACACCAAGATCGCCCAGGATCCGGGAGCTTGGTACGTCCGAGCTTGCCCCGGAGTGAAAGATGCCTTCGCCCGGATTTGGGGGAGCTTCGACCTCATTGTCTCCATGGACGCGCTTCTCATTTGGAGGCCCTGGTGGCGGGAGGCCGGGGGAGATCCGGGGAGATCCGCGGAGCCGGGGCCGAGGCTTTAGCCCCCCAAACACGCCCTGAGGCCCGAGGCCGCTTGGCGCCCGTGCACGGAGGGCCTTCACCTGGATCAGAACCCCTTCAGCAAGCCGGAGTTTGAAACCGTCCAGGGCATGGTCCCGCTGCTTCCGGTCTCCGCAGAGACAGGCGGCTTGGAAGTCGTGCCCCGCAGCCATACGCCGGATGCCAAGGCTGAACTTTGCCGCGAGTTCCCTTACCTGCGGTACTCAGGAGATTGGTGCCCTCTGAACCGATCCTTTGAAGACGCGATGCTGTTGCTCGCTGAGCCAGGAGATCTCATTCTCTGGGACTCTCGGACGATCCACGGTGGGCGTGTGGGCGATGGCTTGGTCAGTTCCCCCCTGGCTCCGTCGAGCCTGGCGCGTTTGTCGGTCACCGTGGCAATGGTTCCCCGAGCACGAGCGACGCCGGAGGTTCTCCAGGCACGGCGAGAAGGTTTCTTGAAAGGCCGAATCTTCAATCACTCTCCGCATGAAGCGGGCACAAGCTCGGGGACGTTGGCGAGTAGATCAACGAAGCGCCATTCGATGACCGAGCTCAACGAATCGCAGCTTGCCTTACTCTAGCAACGGGTGAATTGGACGGAGGCGGATGCAGAATCGTCTATCTGTCTCACGTCACCCTGGTTTGGCATTGCCATGTACAGCAATGTACAGTGCTTCAGTGGCAAAATGTGAAGACAAGACATGGTTGCCGATGCTGTCGTGTCTCTCCAATCGAGGTTCGCTTCCAGCGTTCAACATCTTGTTGGCGGGGTATGGATGGAGACTCACAGCTGCGAGTACGAGTAGTAGATGAATCGTAGCGCCTCGAAGTTCCTTACGGACTGTTGGGCCATTGCCGCTTGCCTCAAACACTGCTTGAAGAGGTGACAGGCCAGATACTGTACCCAAGATCGAGACGAGCATTGTCAGCCCCGTTGCCCATGCAAAAACATGTTTTCACTGTGCTTGAATCTTCCCATTATTTGGGGCTGAGTCAACACATGTCATCCCCCATTGAGCCTAGTGAGTATTGTGGCCGTTGATGCATCAAGCGCCGCGATCTCGTGGGCTGTTACATCAAAGTGTGTTTGGCTATAGGCTCGCCGCATGGTGAGAAGACTGTCTTCGCGCCCAGGCCTCACGACTACAGCAAGTGGGACAGGCTGGCGCAAGCCTTGGATGACGACGAGGCAGCAGACGGCGCGAAAGTTTATGCCCTGTGGCTGCGCCGTGTGCTCGCAGGACCCGATGACCTGGCCGGTCTGCCAGGAGATACCGTGGAACACGGTCGGGCGCTTCTCTCAGCTCCTCTTTGCTGTGCTTGTGCTTTGAGAGAGGGAGCCGGGGAGGCCTCTGGTGGACCGTGTCCTTGACGAGCACTTCGGGCCCGAAAGGCCTGAAGAACAGTCCGGGCCGATTCGTGGCGAGGCCGCCAAAGCCGTGGAGGCCGATGCCCGAGTCAGAAGCGCGGATCCAGGCCGAGCAACTCCCTCACTGCCCGTCACTGAACGTCTCCTGGCCAGCTCGGGTTGACCTCACCCTGGTGAGCTCGATGAAGAACGTGGGAGATGAGGCAGGGACAGCGCCCTCAACTGTAAAACCCTTGCTGGTCAGCGGGGGTCCGGGTACAGATGGGGCATGTTGCTCCCTCTGCCAATAGCTCCCAACGTTCTCGCAGTCCAAGCGAATCCTGCCGCATCGCTTCCGAACTTGCTCAAGCTCGTCATTGACATTGACTGCACGCAGCTAAACAAGCGCAGGAGTGAACAGATCAAGCTGCCGTTCAGCTGTAGAACCTGGTCCGGTCCGGAAGAGAGGGTCGCTATGTGACGCTATCATCTTGCGATGACAGCGTCTTCAGCCGAGCCAAACGGCTTTGAGGCCCGGCCTGTTCTCCGGGCCTTCTGTCGAGTGTGCGCCTCGGCTTGCAGGACCTCGTTTCGCTCTTCGCCGCTGCTTTGCCAGATGCCAACAAGGACATCGTTGGGTCGGTGCTCATGCGAGCTCCTGTGCATCTGATTGTCGTGCAGGATCCCAATGGGGAGGTGCGCACGATGCTCGACACCTTGAGAGAGTTCCTCCGTGGTGTCCATCCCGACGACGCGGCGGCCAGTGTATTGACAGGTGCACTCAGGGCCTGCACAGGGTTCTGCTGTCAACGCTTGAGGATACAGCAGAAGAGAAGCTAACTTGCGGCTTGGCTTTACCCGCTGTTGATTGGCTAATTCCGGCATAGCCTTTATGCAGTCATGCCGCATGCCCCTTCCAAAACGCCGAATACACAGATCGATTTCCCATAGTTCCTAAGGTTAACAGCATGGGGATGTGCGTCATCGGTTGACATCGTGCATCTTACACGTAAGTTACAGTTTCCACATGCATGCTTGAGCGATCTGTCCACCCACAAAGTAAATCCCCTTAGTCAGGAAGGGATACCAAACGTGTAGAGCGCTGCAGCTCCGCAGTGCTTGGCCCTGTCGGCGCCATGGTGCATCTGGTTTCAGAGCGTCCGCGCGAGTCGGTGGTACCAATCCTGCTTCAGCACTGTGCTGGCCGGAGAAAGGGGAAGAGCGGTCTTGCCAAGAACTCCTTTTGGAGAATTGCATTCCCGCTCTATTACGTTTTGCTGAGTTTGACCTCGAACCTGCTCTTTCTGGTGGGTTCCTTTCTCTTCCTTCCGATCAAAGAAAGAGAGCTGACAGTGTCCTTCACATTCGTTGTGGAGGGAGTAGATGTCAACGAGGTCATGACGTCAAACATCTCGCTCTTTCAACAGCTGGAGCGGAACTTCACAGGATTACTTGCATCAGACAAAAGCAGTCGCATCAAACCGCACCACTCAAACCTGCAGTGGAGGAAGACGACTTCCTGTAGCTTGGATAATGCAATGCTGTTCGATGTGAATATCTATCCCCGGGAGGGTTACAGCGCCAGCGCCTTGGAGCGTTCGTTACCTCCGGTTTCATCCATCAAGGAGGCCTTGAACGGAAGCTTGACGGCCATAGGCATCGACCGGCTCGCCACGGATGAGATCGAGGTGAACGTCGTGAGCAGGCCGCGGCTCGTCGAGAGCGTGATCGTGCAGAAGTGGGCTGTGGACTTGGGCTGCAACCTCTTCATCATCGGCAGCGCACTCTTGGCCTTCATCTCCGGGATGGACATCTTCGAAGACGTGCTTCTCTGTGGCGCCCTGGTGCCGTTTGCAATGAACAATGACAGTAGCACAAAACACCCGTCATCACGACATCTGCGAACACACTCTGTGATCTTCATGATAAGCGCAGCAATGATACTAAACACACGACAGCAAGGATAGTGTTGGGAATGCGGAATGCCGAACGTATGAGCTACTGGATGAGCAAGACCAGTAAGACTACTACGATGACGACGGCAACAACATCAGCAGCGACGACGAGACTACTGCTCCTCGCCCTGCTCCTACTGAAGCTCCTTCTCCTGCTCCCGCTGCTGCTGCTACTGCTGCTGCTGCTGCTGCTGCTGCTGCTGCTGCTGCTGCTGCGGCTACGACTACTGCTACCGCTACTGCCGCTGCGGCGGCGGCTGCTGCTCCTGCTGCACCTACTGCTACTGGCAATAGCACTAGCAGTAGTGTTGAGGGATTCAACAGCCTAGTAGCCAAGCCTACGGAGGGTTGCGACGACCCAGACCGTCGGCTCCTGCTGCGCCAGGCCTTAAACTGCCGGGCACAGGGACAGCGTTGCGGACGGCATCAGGCACGACCTACGAGTGGCTCGGGAGTGATGCGGAGGCGGCAGATTCTGACTTTCACGTCATGATCGGGCCAAGAGCTGAGAAGCTGCTGTATTTATCCGGGGGCTTGGTCTTCTTGGTTGGGACGATCTACTTTCAGCACCCCCAGATGCTCACCCAACGGCTTCCGTCCGAAGTTGTTGCAGAGGAGGATGTCTTGTTTTTGGCAATCTGGATGTTCATTCTGGGTTCCATCATCTTTGTTTTTGCCACCTTCCTGAATGCTCTCACGCTGAATGCCTCCGGCCGCACCTTCATCCACTGGTCTGTGGCCACCTGCGGAATCTACGAGCTGGGCGGCATTCTCTTCGTGATGGGATCGGTATGCTTCATGCCAAATCAGGGCTGCAAGGAGGGCATGGAGATCCTGGGAGCCTGGTGCTTCATCCTTGGAGCGGCGTGTTATGTGCTGGGTGACTTCATCGATTTCATGAAGACCAGCGCATTGATCTTCCTGAGGCTAAGGCAGGAGGAGGCAGTACGTCGCATCGAGCGAGCGATGCTGGCCTTCCTCTTTCGCCGTCGGCTGGAGCAAGCCGGCAAGCTTTGTAGCAACCCATCGGCGTCCCCTCCCACGCTCTCAAGAGGCCTTTCTCGGGCTCGCAGTGGCAGCGTGACCCAGGCCGGACTGGTGACAACCTTCAGGCAAGCGATGCTTCAGAGAACCATCATACAGGCTTTGCAGTTGAGGGACGTGCCGGATTTCCGATGTGAAGTTTGATTGCGCTTGGCTCACACTGAAGCTGGCAGCCGCGTGAGTTTCTGCCATACTTGAAGGCACCAAAGTGTGCCTAGCCAGCTGGGTCACAGCAGAGCTTTCACCCTTGGGGCACCATGTCCCATTTGACCCCGTGCGAGGCACAGCTCGGGTTCGCTTAAAGAAGGAGCTTCTGGGGGATTGTCTGGGTCTTGGCGGCACCCGCCGTCCCGGCCACGGGTTTTGCAAAAGAGCCATGGATTGGGGCCCCTCCGAGTGGAAGTGTCTTTGAAAAGCAGTGGAAGCTTCAGCCGCTGCAGGAGCCCGCCATGCGCTCCTTTCCTGTCGCAGCTCGGAAGCCGGTTCGTTGAGGGCTTAGGTGGCAAAGTCAGCTCTTGCATGCCAAGGGGGAGCTGGCCGGCCTTCCCTGAGTTCCTACGCCTGTAAGACTTCGCTGTCCATGGTCCCTTGGATGATTATCAGAGCCTGGGCAAGGATTGGGCAAGACTTGGCCATCCAGGTCAAGAAGCTGCTGGCCCTCCAGGGCTCGGTCTACTCAGCGGTGCTGACGCCCTACCACGACAACGGTCTGTTTGCCAACGTCCTCCAGGCGTCCCCAGCCGTGGTCAAAGCAGCCCCCTGCCTTTCAGTGCGCTCAGGTGTGCGATGCACTGCTCTTGGCGAAACCAGGCAGGTCTGAGGCTTCAGGAGTCAAGGGCGAATCCGTTCGAACGTTGGAAGGAGTGCCCGTCCTGGTTGATTGGAAGCGAAAAGGCTCCGAAGGCGGTCGCACTTCCCCTTAACTCGAACCCTCTGTCCGGTCCTTCGGAAGGCCATTTTCAGTATGGCCCGGAGGGCTTTGATCTCTTTGGGCACCTCTTCGAAGCCGGTGAGCGCTGCCGCTGCCCGTCCTCAGAGAGGCCCTTGCAGCGGGAGATCTGGGAGATGGGCCGCCCGAGGCTCTGCGACCGAAGTGCCATCAGAGAGCTTGAGCATGCCCAGGGCCCAAGTCTCTCTGCTTCGCCTTCCTTCACTGGCTGCAACATAGCTGCAACTGAGGCCGGGGCGTATCAACTGCCTCTTCATGAACATGCTCCGGGGCTACTTCTGGTCCTTGCCGGAGGACGCTCTCAAGGAGCTCCGCCTGCGCTACGCAGCAGCCATTCGCGACTGGGCGGCCCTGGGCCTCCATGGAGGTAACATGAGTCTCTTTCTCTGAAGTGAGCAGCAGAGGTGTTCTCCAACCAGCCCAGCATGTGCAGCGAAAGTTGCAGGAATGCACAAGTTGGACCGAGGAGCCGCTTGTCTTTCGATCCAGTTCCTCCTTCCAGTGTCAGCGGTCAAAGGTGTCAACTCGTCTCGTCAGGAGGCTCTCGTTGTGGGCGTGCACAAGAGGCTGGCTTGCTCGGAGATGGTTGCCTGCCAGCTGTCGCAGCGAGCTCCGTCTTGTGCAGAGTTTATCGCCAAAGCACGCAAGATACTGTCTGCGAGTGAAAAGCAGCGTAAGCTGATTTTCTTGGCTACGGATGATGTAAAGGCCGGGTTGATTTGCAGTCATGACCGAAGCAACTAATGGAGAGTGTGCTCATGAGTGAGTCCATGAAGACACGATGCAGGCGGTGGAAGAATTCGAGGTCGCGTTCCCTCGAGATGGAGACGTTGAGCTGTGTTATCGTCGTGTGAAGCGGTCGCCGGGTGGAGTTCGCGAAGATGGCATCGACAATGAGGCACCGAGTGAAGCAGCAAAGCAGAGGTACAACAGGATCATGAGTTCACAACACGCTATCACGAACTTCGATGAAGGCTAGGCTGGGCAGTGAGCTCATGGCACCTGATATGATCTCAGGTGCACAGGAGCCCCTGTGCCGAAGCTGACGCAGAAGATGCGCTCATCGATGCGCTTGCCCTGTCTAGATGTCAGCATCTCGTCTGCGTTGACTCAAACTTGGCCATCTACGTCGCTCTCTTGAACCCGGAGATGCAGCTCCATGCCCTCAGCAGCATCCTCCCAGAGGCAAGGTTTCCGGAGAAGTTCTGGGCTTAGGATTCTATTGATTCCCTTCTTTGAGCTTGATTGCACGACTTTGAGCACAAGTCTCTCTAGCGTTGCCGTAGCCCCGTCCCGTCAGGGATGGGAGGAAGCTGCCGAGAGACCAGAGGAGGTGGTGCATGCCTCCTACGAGGTGGTCTTCGCACCGATGGTCTTCGTTCGCAAGGTCGGGTCTAGGGTCCCCGCTTTTTTCACCTTCTGCGGCTTTGGAGCGCGAATGTGACTGCTTGTGAGGGCCCGAGCACGGCGACCGAGCTGCTGGGGGCTTCTGGGCTCAAAGCTGTGGCACCGTGACGTGGAGTACGTGCAGCCTGCAGAACAAGGCTGATGACCTACCCGCACCCATCCCACCGAGGCCCGCAAGCCTGGCGAGATCGTCTGCTGCACCGGTCGCGGCTTCGACGGCTGGGTCGAGCTTGAGGGAGGCCGGCCAACCAGCAAGGCTCGCATAAGATTCGTCGAAGAACGATGCGCTTCAGGCGGTTGGATGCTGGTCGACGGGGCACGCGGCGGCAAGCAGCCGCTTGGCTCGATCGAAGGCCTTCCGGTCGCGGCGGGAGCAACGATCCTTGCGAGGAATGCTGCGGCTGGCACCCTGCTCAAGCCGGTGGGCGACATTTTGGCACCACAGACAAACCGCGGCTACTCGAAAAGTGCAGACGAGCCGCGACCGCGGTTTTCGTGTTGGTGTTCAATACTCAATAGCACAAGATCGCAAGGAGACCCAAAGCAACCTGCTCCTAGCAGGCCTTCGAGAAGCAGGACTTTGACAAGGCATCGTCGGTCGTCGACTTGGTGACGGGATTTGCGGGGCATGTCTGGCACGCCCCGCAGTGCCCACTCAAGAGGCCTGGCAGTCAGCAGCAGAAGCCGCGCGCCAGATTGGTGCCGCATTGCTCAGATCTCCCTTTGGAACAACCTGGAGCCTTTGCGTTTTCTGTTCAATATCAAGGCTCATGATATCTGGCTGGCGCTGATGTGCGAGGCTGTGCTTTGCCGTACAGTAGACTTTTAGGACTGCCGTACCGTGCGCATTCTTTCAGGTGTCCTCTCTCCAGCAGCAGTGCGGCAAGCTTCATCTTTCGGAGGCACTAATCAAGCAAAGAGGGCGATTTTTCGCAGCGTCTTCATTGGGGCCGCAAATGAAAACTCAGCTTGTTGCAGCAGCATGCGGAAGCGGATCTCGCACGGCAGCGGGTCTCTTTCTGTCACGACCAAACCAACTTGCTGGTGCCTGCAGGCCACAGCGACGGCGATGCTCGCTGAGGCCCGGTCAACACAGTATCGCCAGAGGACTCCGGGCGCTTCCTGGCTTCCCCCCATCAAGAAGGCGCCTCAGCAGCGCATGGCGGCGAAAGCCCTGCTGCGGCGCGGCCTCGCGAGGGAGGCGCTGGGCGACCTGAACGGAGCCAGGCCCGGCACAAAAAGCGGTGCGGAAAGGAAGCGGCCAAGAGCCATCGACACTGGGAGAAACACACCGCAGAGTCTCTCACCGAAGTCTCGGGAGCAGAGGCGATTTGTGAGCAGACCGCGCTGGCAAGGCAGGACCTTTCCCACGCGGTGGCCGAAAATTTCATGGACCTGCAGGCTCAGGACAGAATCAGAGGGACGCGTGCACCGCATCTGAGACTCTATGGGGTGTTGTGCTGTGATGTGCCGCAGGACGCCCTTTCTCGTGTAGAGCAAAGACTCAGCGAGGAAAAACAGAGCGATGGACTGATTAAGCGACGGCATGCTCATCACGGCTGCTCCTCCTCCGTATCTTTTCTCGTCCGCCGCCATTCCAGGTTGCATGCGCAAGGAACACACAAGCGCACATGGCAATCGTCCTTAGAGTAACGCCTTCCAGCCCCATGCCTATCACACCAACAGCACAGAAAGCATGGAAAGTCACGGGCCATCGGTCCTTCCTTTGAAGAGGGTCTCCTGCCCGTCCCGACTTGCCTTGTCCGTGATGGCGAGGCATGGAAGCCGGGAGAGCCTCCCCTGCGAGCCCAGCGTCCCTTGGTCCTGCGAGGTCCGAGACCGCCTTGGACTTGGAAGACCTGGCGCTGGACACAGACTTCCGGGATCTTCCGGGCTTGCACCTGCACACTCCTTTATGGGCTCCTTCCGGCGCGGATTTAAGGCGAGTCGCTACGACACTCAAGTCCTTCGCGAGTACTTGTTGGAGCAGGAGGTGCGAACTCAAGATCCTTGAGCCGGGCGCGCACTAGTCGTTGTTTACTGCCAGGAAGGCAGCACGAGACAGCGGCAGGCTGAGGCAAGCGCCAGAAATTTCCTGAAGAGATTTGAAGTCGGTTCATTGTTTGAAGGATGCGGAGCAAGCAACGCTGCCAGATGTCTACGATCTTAGACAACGGTGCTTTCGAAGGTGCAAACTCTGGTTGACAAGCCGAGCCGTCGTTCAAAGAGCCTCGTGTCAATTCCAGGATACGCAATCTGCTGGTGGTGTCCGGCTTACGATCCCATATGATCTCTTCATCACTGGATCCGGCTGCAGGGCTCCCAACCAGCTAAGGTCAACTTCCTTGCATATTGGTCCACTCTGAGCTATTGTGGGTGCCATCTGAGAAGAGGTTTTGGCCTTCGTTGCAGCCTGGCTTCAACGGCAAATGCCAGGTACGCTTACTACCTTCGAGTCGAAGAAGCCGGCACGAAGGCTGCGGCCTGACCCGGGCTTGGGTGAGCTTTCTGGAGTGCACATGGCATCCTCTAGCAGGCACTTCCGCCCATGGATGTGGCACTGGCGTGCGTCCGGGCCCTGACAAAGAAGGGTGTAACGACAACTCGATCTCACGTGCTGGAGCCTGCCTGTGTCGCAGAGTAGCGCGCTTGCTTGCCGAGGTCTTCCTTCTGGGCACGCAGGCCACATTGGAATTGGCTGCTGCTGCCCTGGCGCAATGGGAGATACTGTTCCACTTGAGCCCGTGCTGATGCCCTGCTCTGAGGCTGCCGTTTGCCTTACTCAGCCAGTGCGCCAGGGCGATGGCAGGAGGTCGGATCTGAGTTCCGGCTAGAGCTCTGAAGGCACTAGGCCCACACCCTCTCCTGGCTTGCAGTAATCCCTTCAACAGCTGGGACTTTCTGGCGTGGCTTGCTGGTGCCGATGCCCCAGTGAACAGCGTCAACAAATCCAAACGACGAGTCCACAACATGGGTACGGCTCTCTCTCTCCCCCTCTCTCTCTCTCTCTCTATATCTTTCTCTCTTTCTCTTTCACACAACGATGAGTAGCACGGCAAACATCGCACTCTCCGAGGCTGGAGCCAGGTGCTCCATGCTCTTAGACGCGCTGTGCCTGCCGCTGATGAAGCGCGGGCGCGACCCTCAGAGCGGGTGGAGGACACCATGCAACGACAACAAGCTGTCCACAGCTCTACGAGCATCTACAAGCCGGGATCATCTGGCGTCATCTTGGCAGCGGCTTCCGAAAATGCCGGGCCATGTTGTCGAGCTTGTCGGATGTGCTCCGAGTTTGTGGAAGGGTGCCACCGTTCATGTAGCAATGTGTAACCAGGGTTTGAGGCACATTGGCTTGCTTGCTGAAGCAGAGGATGTCGCCAGTTGAGTTCCAGTCGTAAAGCAGGATGTAGATTCCTCGATCCTCGATCCTGCGCCCCTTGAATATCCCCGAATCACGGTATCTGAAGGTCGAGCTTGCTCTTCCTGCTGTCCGTGCTGCACTGAGCCAACCGGAGAACTTGTAGGCCTATAGGCCTAGACACCGTGATGGACAACTGCATTCTGTTCCGTCGTGTTGTGGCGGTGTAGAGTTGTTCTTGCTAGAGCCTCGGAGCTAGCTGTTCTACGTTTTGCCAGAATCTTCTGCTCCTGAGGCGAGCACGTTTGCTTTCGCAATCGGCGTCTTCGTTTTCGCTGTCGGGCGCCGAGAGACTCTTACCCGCCCCGCGGCAAAGCCACCCCACAGCTCAGGTCCAGCTGCGGCTTCTTTTGGGAATGTTTTGCAGCAGGGACCATTGTGAACCCTGCTCGCTTTTATAAGACTGCAACCCTGGCACCAGCAACTCTGCCAGTCTCCTACGACAAGCCGGACCTGTTCTTCAAGGGCCGGGACAGCAGCGGGATGTCGCTGGGCCGCTTCTGGCTATTTGGTGGGAGGGCAGCTAGCTTCACATCGTCTCCGCATCGGGCTGGGATTTAGGGCTCAGGTCCGGAGGCTCTTCACTCCACTCCCACGCCTAAACCCACGAATCGCCTTGCGCGCCCCTGATCGAAGCGATGCATTGCTTAGTCTTCGACGTTGTGTGCGACGTGGTAGATCAGCTGGGAGACGGTGCGCGAGGCTTGCAGCTAGCAGTTATGCTTCACCAGTCTTTGGACACTACGTCATGAATTTTTGCTGCGTGCTGATCCTTGCTCTGAGTAGCGGAGTCCAATGATTTGATCAGGGTGCAGCTGTTTCCTGACTGTCAGTGCAGAGGAACCACCAAAATCCGTTACCCGTGATGAGAACTGCGCATAACTGCACCGAGCTTGTTGTTGCACCTTTGCCGCTTGCGGAGAAGCAGCCACTGTGCTCGTTTGAAGTGTGTCCGGTCACGAGAGGGCGTACTTGTCTAGATGCGCAGCCGCAGGCAGACGCGTGCACACTTCGGGGTCTTTACGATCCTCAATGTGGCACTGTTGGGCAGTGTCTGAGTCGACGGGGCTGCTGGTGATGTTTGCTACCGTCATGAGCTGCGGACGTTGCTGAG